TAAGGTTTGACAGAATGATTGACTATCACACTGTCGTTACATTACTTGACTCAATAGACCAATACCGCTATTAAAATATTCAATGAAAGATCCTTCCTTCCTTCCTTCCTTCCTTCCTTCCCCACCACCAACAACGCTTCTGTCCCATTCTTGGTATAGTGTGGATAGGCAAAAGTATAGTGCACATTATACACCATAAACAAGAGGCTATATAGTGATTGGTACAGGTGTGAAGCGGCCCCCTAGTGAACACTACACTGTACAGGTAGGTCTCAGGTGTACCATATAGCTCTGCCTTCTAATTAACACCAACGGGAAGAACAGCACACAGCAGGTAGTAACGGGAAGGCCCTCATTGGCTAGTATACAGAGACAGGAGAACATACATACATACATACATACATACATACATACATCTGACATACATACATACATACATACATCTGACATACATACATACAGACATACATACATACATACATACATACATACACGTAATGGTAGTTGTTGCAGTGGTAGGTGGTAGTAAGATGGTGGTGATTACAGTGGTATAGGCCTAAGTGGTAAGACTGGGCTTCGTCACACTGGTAAAGGGGTAAGGGGAGGGGTTAAGGGGAGGGGTAAGGGGAAGGGGGTAAGGGAAGGGGTAGGGGGAAGGGGGGTAGGGGAAGGGGTGGGGAAGGGGGTAAGAGGGGTAGGGGAGGGGTAGGGGGGATGGGGGGGGTAGGGGAAGGGGTGTTAGGGAAGGGGTAGGGAAGGGGTAAGGGAAGGGGGTAAGGGGAAGGGGGTAAGGGGAAGGGGGTAAGGGGAAGGGGGTAAGGGGAAGGGGGTAGGGGAAGGGGGTAGGGGGTAAGGGGAGGTTATACCAATATATGTAATTAGGAAGGAGAAGTAGGGTGTCAAACGCCCTCCAACCACGCCAGTACAATCATTTATGGATGGTAGGACACATTCCACCACAATCCACCACAATCCACCACAATCTCCGACACTCCACACCACTCCATCAATCTCCACTACACTCCACCACATTCCACCACAATCCAACCACAATCTCCGACACTCCACACCACTCCATCAATCTCCACTACACTCCACCACATTCCACCACAATCCACCACAATCTCCGACACTCCACACCACTCCATCAATCTCCACTACAGTCCACCACGTTCCACCACAATCCAAACTACTCCACACCACTCCATCACTCTCCACAACACTCTATAAAACTCTGCCACAGTCCTCCACACTCAATCACACACTGCCACGCACTAACACGCTCCACCACACTCAGCATATTCTACACACTTTCCATAGCACTCTACCACACTCCATTACACTACCACACTTCAACACATTATTATTATCATTATTATTATTATTATTATTATTATTATTATTATTATTATTATTATTATTAGTATTATAATATCGTCAATAATAATAATAGAAATAATAATAATAATAATAATAATAATAATAATATATGTAATAATATATGTAATATAGAAATAATAATAATAATAATAATAATAATAATAATAATAACAACAATAACATCATTACTACCTTTTTTTTTTTTTTAACGTGGCCTCCAGCCTCCCCCAATAGCCACACCTTCGCCACCATTTATTTACCTTAATATTAACTATCCTAATACATAAGCAACTATCCTATCTGTGTTAAATTAGTTGAGCCGCAGATCGATGCGGCATTCGGTGACTGTAGCCTCATAGTCGATATCTGCAGCAGTTGACGGAGTAGGGGCAGAAGCTCTCGTTCCCCTGAGGCAGAGCAAAGCCGACCGAAGGAGAGAAAAGGACAGTCGACATCTCATCCAGGCTGTAACATAACTTCTGGGCTGCTGCTTCTGTTCGGAGATCAGCTCCGCGAGTCTGGCGTAGAAACATCTTGCACTTGGGCCCATCCCACCAGAGGTTGTGAACACTAGCGGAGTGAAGCTGCCTTGATCGACATTTTGAATTCTCTCCCTATATGCCCTTCTCTTGTCGTTCTCGTTCCTCCTATGTGCAGCATCGAGAGCTAGGTTACGGTGACAAACAGCCATGGGATCAAAAATCCTGATGTCGAAGAAGGCTCGCTGTCCCCGCGTCCAGAATCCTCGAGCACTGACGTCCACACAGGCTTCGTTAGATGTGTTTGAAGTCCTGTGTTGGAGGATCTCGCCATCCAGTGGAAGGAGGGTCGGTTCTACCATGACGTCCCGGCAGGTTTCCTTCAACATATTTGCTGTGAGATCCCTTACCTCGTCATGCCTCATGCATATGAAGCCCCCCTTCTTGCAAACCATGGCGTGATCGCCATCATAGGAATAACCACACACGCATTGGGAGGGCAAACCATCTACTGGCCAACCGTACCTTAGAGCAATGGCATCTGTAAATTCTTGTTTGTTAAGGCTGAAACCATTTGCCCTTATCGGTAACGTAGTTAACCAGTTCGAGGCGCCCACCTCCTGCGCTATAGCTACTTTTTTTGTCAGATTTTCTGGAACCTGCAGCAATAGTTGCTGCAACATGTCATTTTGGCAGTGCTGCCGATCTGTTGTAATGGATCTACGGATCTTATTAACTTCGCTGGTGTCCACTTCCCCTGTTGCATTCTGGGCTATTATGTGGTCAGTGAGGGCTGCCGTGAGTTTAAGTGAATTTTGAGGGTCAATACACCAGCTTAATATAACCCATATAAACCTCATTACTAGACACCTAATTGGTCTTACAGTAATAGACTTCCCACCAATGGTAAAGTTTGGCTACAATTTATGAGTCTTGAGCTGATTATATCGTCTCCATAGCCACCTAACCCTACAGACGGACAGGAGGAGGAAAATTATAGGTCGAGTCTCCCCCTTTCTATCCCACTCCCCAGTCACCCCCACCCCACGAATGTTTATTGATGTATGTATGTATAGATGTATGTATGTATGTATGTATAGATAGATGTATGTATGTCTGTATAGATAGATGTATGTATGTATGTATAGATGTATGTATGTATGTATAGATGTATGTATGTATGTATGAATAGATAGTTGTATGTACAGATGTATGTACAGATGTATGTATGTATGCATGTATGTATGTATGTATAGGTATGTTTACTTACCACCAAGCCTGACACACACACGGACGAACTCGGATAACATGTTAAACACCTCACCTGGAAATACAGAAGAAAGAGATGGTTTAAAATACAGCAAATACTCATACTATGTTCTTATACAGTATATATAAAGGTGAGTGAGTGAGTGAGTGAGTGAGTGAGTGTGTGTGAGTGAGTGAGTGAGTGAGTGTGAGTGAGTGAGTGAGTGACTGGGGGCACTATGGGAGTGAGATTGCAACTTGAAGCACCACCACCACTCGCCGTCCACCACCCAGCCAATATCACCACCAACACAAACCTAACCTAACCTAACCTAACCTAACCTCAGTTCTATTCAGCGTTGAGGTAAAACGAAGAGTATTCCTACTCTGGCATTACTTTGCACTGATATATATTTTGCAATAATAATGTTGCATGAATGTGTTGCCATTATATCATGTGGCACTAATATATTGCAAGGACACCGGATCGTACAGAGGATATATGTTGCATTACCATGATGTTGCAAAATATAAATAAATAACAAAATAAACGGTATCATTTGAAAATATTATCAGTACTTTAATTCACAAGTATACATAACAATATTTACAATGAATTAAGGAAAACCACACACACACACACACACACACACACACACACACACACACACACACACACACACACACACACACACACACACACACACACACACACACACACACACACACACACACACCAGGAAGTGCTAGCGACCAATGAAAGACCAGCCCAAGAATTTCGTGAGAGTTGTGTTGCACCAATGAAAGGTAAAAGGACAGATTGAATGGCCCTGAGGAGCTACTGAAGAAGTTTTATGGCAGAGGTTCTGAAGTGTGTGTGTGTGTGTGTGTGTGTCAAATATGTAATGTCTTAATATCTTCAATAATATAATAGCTTCTTCAACAAAACAAGCTAGCTATTTCTTCAATATCCCAACTAATATGTGTGTGTGTGTGTGTGTGTGTGTGTGTGTGTGTGTGTGTGTGGGTGTGTGTGTGTGTGTGTGTGTGTGTGTGTGTGTGTGTGTGTGTGTTAGGGTAAATAACAAGGTAAAATACAGAGATCCTTGAACCAGGCTAGAAAATACAAGATCTGGCAACACGATCCTCTGTTATCATTAAATGGAATCTAACCCGGGACCCGCATACTACTGGTGACGCAGTAACCCAGTAACCCCCCCCCCGTACAATCACCTGAAGAGAAGTATTGTCGTTCATTTTATAAAACTATATAATTATCTATAATTATGCATCACTATAATGAGCAGCTTCAACCTCCAATATGATTAGTTGTGCCGCTATTAACATTATCCTGCTGGCGTCAACCCTCAGAGCTTCCCTAACCCAGCTGGTCGTCACCCAACTAATTCTTCCCGGCTAACAACCTGGTAAACGATGCCAGCTACCGTGACCTCCTGCCGGGGTAGCATTACACTCGTCAGGTTCTCTCCACAAGATTTCCCTAAATGTTTCTTTTATACCGGGTGAGTGTTTATCAGCAAACTTGTGATGTTAAGACCTGATACATACAATACTTCTTCAGGATAACGTTACATATGTTCACACACAAATGATGCACAGGTAATATAAACCGAGGTTACCTGAGAGATATTTACTAGTTAAATATTTAATCCCATTACGGAGAATGGGATTACAGAGGTGGACAAAAATTAATTTAAAATAAAATCATATTCTAACATTTCACTCAGTTGAGGAATCATGAAAAGGCTTAGGCAATAATCCCCCTGTCTGGTGGTGGTCTGGGACACTGGGGAGTTGTACACAAGAACACTGGGGGCTGAAACACAGGACTAGAAACACTGGGGGCTGCAAACACTGGGGGCTGGAACACACTGGGGGCTGAAACACTGGGGGTGAAACACTGGGGACTGAAACACTGGGGGGCTGAAACACTGGGGACTGGAACACTGGGGGCTGAAACACTGGGGGCTGGAACACTGGGGGCTGGAACACTGGGGGCTGGAACACTGGGGGCTGAAACACTAGGGGCTGAAACAATGGGGGCTGAAACAATGGGGGCTGAAACACTGGGGGCTGGAACACTGGGAGCTGAAACACTAGGGGCTTACCTAAATCCTCTCTATGATGAGCTTAACTTGTAATGTGTAAGTCATTTCTACTCTTGTTTCCACGTTGTTTTAACATTAATTTCTCTCCAAAACAAGACTTCAGATGACAATTTTAAATACTGTTATGTTCTGACTTCGGGTTAGTTCACCACCACCACCGTCACCACACTCTTCCACCACCACCACCACCACACACTCTTCCACCACCACCACCACCACCACCACCACCACACACTCTTCCACCACCACCACTCTTCCACCACCACCTCCACCACCACCACACTCTTCCACCACCACCACCACCACCTCCACCACCACCACCACCACTCTTTACCACCACCACCTCCACCACCACCACACTCCACCACCACCACCACCACTCCACCACCACCACCACACTCTTCCCACCACCTCCCACCACCACACTCTTCCACCACCTCCCACCTCCACCACACTCCACACCACCACCTCCCACCTCCACCTCCACCACCACCACCACCACTCCACCACCTCCACCACCACCACCACCACACTTCACCACCACCACCTCCACCACCACCTCCACCACCGCACCACCACCACCACCACCACCACCTCCACCACCACCACCACCACCACCTCCACCACCACCACCTCCACCACACTCCACCACCACCACCACCACCTCCCACCACCACCACCACTCCACCACCACCACCTCCACCCACACTCCACCACCACTTCCCCACCACCACCACCACCACCTCCACCACCACCACCACCACACTTCACCACCTCCACCACCACACTCCACCACCACCACCACCACCACCACCACCACACTCCCACCACCACCACCACCACCTCCCTCCACCACCACTCCACCACCACCACCACCACTCCACCACCACCACCACCACCACCACCACCTCCACCTCCTGCACTCCACCACCACACTCCTCCCACCACCACCACCACCACACTTCACCACATACACATTCACTACATTATCTCTATTGTATTACCACATTATAACCACTAATCCCTCACATCTCTAGTCCAGTTACTAATATAAATCACTGATAACTACTAATACTCCTTATCATAAATTAACATCGCTATTCTTTTAGTATACAGTATTACCATATAGGACCAGTGTAGCCAAACCTGCGACACATCTCTCAACTGTTTATATCGCCACTAGAATATGATACTTCGATTATAAAACCTAAATTGATTCTGGCAATATTTTGATGGGGTGACTCAACAGCTGGTCCTTCCTGCGTGGTAGTTATCTGGTTCATTTATATAACATTAAGTCCTCCGCCGTCTAGTAGGAGTCGTAAAAAAAAAAGTTATATGCAGAGGGATTTAGAAGTATAAGAGGGTTGTAAAGGGCTTATCACCACTCCTGTCTCTGGCCTGGTGATGAGGGAAGCTGTTGATGGTGATAGTGGTGATGGTGATGGTGGTGATGGTGATAGTGGTGATGGTGATAGTGGTGGTGGTGGTGATAATGGTGGTGGTGATAGTGGTGGTGGTGGTGATAGTGGTGGTGGTGGTGATAATGGTGGTGGTGATAATGGTGGTGGTGATAGTGGTGATGGTGATAATGGTGGTGATAGTGGTGGTGGTGGTGGTGATAATGGTGGTGGTGATAGTTGGTGGTGATAGTGGTGAAGATGATCATGGTGACACAAAGTGGTGATAATAGTGATAGTTATTAATTGTACTATATAATTCATCTGGCATCATAAAGCACGTACTCACATGACGCCGTTCACCCAACAAATTATTTTCCATTTAAAAATAATAATGAAAAAAACACATTATACTTAAAAGATTATAAAACAACTTTACATCTTTCAGGAGGCGGCCAGCTTACTTGATAAGCTTAAAAAACACCATCCAAGAGCCCAAGCTTACCATCACCCCCCCAGAGTCCCCTAAATTGGGCCATTCAACCAGCACCAATTCAACCCTTCAGATGGCAATGGGGTAATTGGGTAGTTTATTCACTCTAACTTCAGATGAATTTATTCACCTTAGGAAGGGTCTCTGTCCCCTACAGGGTTAATAGTCAAGGGGGCCAGACAGCCACATGTCAGGCTAGAGTGCCCTATAAGGTAAGGACAGTCTCTCATCTCTACAGCATTCAGGCATAAGTCCCAGAGCTTGTTTGGACCGTGAAGCAGTGTCATGCCAACAACACCGTCAGGCATTACATACAGTAGTTCTAATCCCAAGACGCATAAGACCGACGTAAGACAGTTGAAGTATGGGAACTAGACAGGAAGCAACGGTCGTTTACATGAAATATACCATCATCAACACTGACAGTATCTGAAGTAGTGTTAAAGAGAGCATTGATAAAAGAAGTAGCGCCAGTAACAGCAGTAACATAAGTAGCATCTATAACAGCATTAGATAACATGGAAAGTAGCGTCCCTCTCAGATATAGGTACAGTAGCATCAACAGTAACAAAAGGTAGCATAGGGAACGATGACTACGGTAGATATAAAAAAATATATATATAACAGTACAGGTATAGACAGCACCAGGAGCAATGGGCCACTGTAGAGATAGAGGCAATGATAAAAGCAACAACAACAACAACACAAGCACCACCACCATTTAGAGCACCGGATGTCACACACCAACACTACAATGGTGAGGGAGATGGAGGGGAGTCATAGTATCCTGGCTCCAGAGATAAAGGAGGAGTCGAGCCAAGTGTCTGGAGGGGAGGAGCCGAGGGGGAGGGGTGGAGCCGACGGGGGGTTGAAGGCAGGGCGGGGGGGTGTGAGAAGGAGGTTGGAGGGGGGGGGGTGGCCAGCGCCTTCACTGCGGTACCCCGCCTGCACGGTCGATACAACAAACGTACAAACACAGTGCCTTTAGCAAGTACCACTACACCCGCGGCACTCTACCAAACACCACTATCATCACCCATTGTGTAGGAGGGAGGTGGTGCGTGGGAGGAAGTGTGTCAGCGTGGGAGGAAGTGTGTCAGCGTGGGAGGAAGTGTGTCAGCGTGGGAGGAAGTGTGTCAGCGTGAAAAGTGTGGGGGGGGGAGGGGATAATCAAGTGTGGGAGGCAGCGTAACAGTAGGAATATAGTGGCAGGCGTTGTGTAAGTGTGTGTAGTAGTGGAGGAGTGTGGGAGGCAGTGTGTGTGTGTGTGTGTGTGTGTGTGTGGCAATCCAAGAGTCAAGGCATCACACTCTGGCTCTCAGCTTCCAACACATGCCACGGGGTTCCTCAGTAGTAGTAGTAGTGACGGTGGCAGTTGGCGGCAGTGACGGTTAGTGGCGGTTGGTGGCAGTGGCGGTTAGTGGCGGTTGGTGGCGACGTTCATTAAACATTATTTTTTTTCTTTATTAAATGTTTGTTAATTCCAAAACGAGCGTAAATTGTCCCTAGACTTTTGTTCTGTCTGGCTACAAGCAGCACCATCCATTAGTTTTGGGACTCCACGCAAAGCCGGAACTAGAACAAGCGCGAAAATAAACAGAAAAACTGATAACCAGTGAGTGAAGCCTGGAAGGTGTGTTAGGGGGTGGGGGGTGGGGGTTGTGGGGTAGGGGGTTGGGAGAAGGAGGGGGTAGGGGGGGGTGGAGAATAAATACGGGGTTAAGGAAGAAATTATATAACAAACATTTCCACTTAACACATATTCTAAACCCGTGTTCGCCAGCGGCCATTTTTTTTTTACCTACCACCAGCGGCTATCTTAACTTAAAAAACAAAACAAAACACAAAATTTAGTGTGTGTTATTATCATTATTATCCTCTGATACTGTGATAAAATTTAATGAGCAATAACGTGATATTAAGGGCAAACAGGAGAGAGAGAGAGAGAGAGAGAGAGAGAGAGAGAGAGAGAGAGGCCAGTAGTAGGAAAATAAAAAAGAACAATAAAAAAGGAAGGAAGGAAGGAAAGAAGGAAGGACACATTCTATACCGCATACTATACCAGTTGTACCAGTGATGCTCTACCGGGGATACTTTACCGAAAGCAATGAATGAAGACTGATGTACCGGTGATGCTGTGACGGTGATGTTGTACCGGTGACGCTGTGACGGTGATGCTGTGACGGTGACGCTGTGACGGTGATGCTGTGACGGTGATGTTGTGATGGTGATGCTGTGACGGTGATGCTGTGACGGTGATGTTGTGACGGTGATGCTGTGACGGTGAGGTTGTGACGGTGACGCTGTGACGGTGACGGTTTATTACAAGTTATTGATAATTTTTACAATGGTTGGGACTGGGCTGTTCTTATAGCGACCAGTTCGTGCACGTATGGGCTGGATGCGGTTGTGGTGTCGAACAGCAATTCTCGGACTAGGGATCTCAGGTGGTAGTAGGAGCCGGTGTCGAGGATGGTGTAGAAGCTTCTTACCAAATTTGCAGATGAGGTCGTGGTGATGGTCAGTGAGAGTCGAAAGGTGTGTGTGTGTGTGTGTGTGTGTGTGTGTGTGGTCAATACTCTTTCCTCTGTACACGGGTCAATCTGGGTAGCTTCTATTGCGTTCTGATATAAAGTGACGTCAGTGAGTTATAATGAAAAGTGACATAAGGAAGCTCCGATGAAGAGAGAGACACTGGAGAAATGAAGAAAATTGCAGTTAGCTCAGAAAAGTGACGGAAGATGATAAACGTAATGGGAACAATGAAAAAAAAGCGAGATATATTAAAAAAGTAATGTGGGAAATGGAAAAAAATAATAATACCTAGGAAAATAGTACAGGTAGACATGATGAGTAAAAGTACCCAAGAAAAGTGACATCAACTCATCACAGACATAAATAACAAGACATTTAATAACTCAAGAGACATACACGTGTTATTAGAGTCACGTGTTAGAGGCGGCAATGAAGAACTCGAAGAATTCATTTATGTAAAGGTAATACACTCAAAGGGTACAACAGGGTGCCGGGAGCGTGAAGCGTTAAAGAAGCGTAAAGCATTAATGAATCCTCTTGGTACATATTGCCTGACGCTTATTAATACGGTGTTATGATGAAAATATTCCTCGTTAATGAAAAAAAATAATGTACCTAAAGGGTTGGTTTAAGATGTAAGAAAAAACGTCAAGAAATAACACCGAGAATTTATCGTAACTAGAGACATTTAGCTAAGAACAAATTAAAAGACAAAGTTAATGCTACAGATTTTTTTTCTAAGGTCATCTACTTTACTGGTGTTAAGTAAATGTATCTACTTAAGGTCCAGTGTTAATGTAAACTTAGTGTTATTTATGAATGTTAGTTTGTGAGCTTATTTCATTGAGTTATGTAAAATATTAAACATCCAGTAATGAGAAATACACGTCGGGGAAACCACTAATAATGTGATCCCATCAGACCTGAATACTGCTACTATATTTTGGTTAAGGTCTACACGAGACATCTATGATTATCAGTTACACGAGTTGTACAAGGACACACGAGGGGGAGGGGCAAACACGGAGGGGAGGGGGACACACGAGGGGGGAGAGGAACACGGAGGGGA